CATCTTAAAACTTATTCTTCTTGCACTATGATATATGTACAATAAATTTTATTTTATTTTATTTTTTTTTCTCTCTCTCATTCTTTAATTTGCAATTTTATAAACTGAATGACCATATTTAATGTTTCTAAAATTTTCTTTTACTCTATTTTTTTATTTTTTATTTTTGGCATATTGGTTGAATCTTGATTATTGCACTATTATTGCACTTTTATTTTTTGGATTTGCTGTCTTGCTGCATTGTTAGTTGATTATTTATTTTTATTTTTTATTAATATTACATTCAATGTGCCCCCTAATACATAATTCGGGCTCCGTCCCTGCTTGAATGGCCAATAGCGTCTTGTCAAGCAAGCATGGGTATTGATGAGAATTGTGCAGCTATTCGAAATTTGCTGATTACAAAATACCACACCTGCTTCTCTATCAAATCTTGATTTCTTCTATTGTTATATATATATATTCATAGTTCCCTTTATTCTTGAAAGGAAATAAGTCTATTTCAAGGATTTTAGCTGGTTTAAGATGAGTTCTTCAAATATTTGGCAGAGGCCATTTAGCGTCTTTTGCTTTTCTTCTCTTTTATACCTTTCTAGGATTTTAGCAAAGATCCAACTTACCATACGTTCTTATTCGTATGTATGAAAAGTGGGAAATATTTCTTGTTTGCTCTTACAAAATATATTCTAGAAAATTATAAGGGAATGAAAAGTAGTAAATGTACACTGGTGTATTGCATCACAAATTGATGTTATGAGTGAAATTGATGGAGCTATTGCTGATAAGTGTTTGTCCATCTTGTGGTTTGGGACTATTTTTGTTTTTTATAAAAAAATTGCTTATTGGTTTTCACCGTTATGTAATGTTTGGTGGTTCGAATTCAAAATTTCTGGTTCTTGGATTTCATAAATTTCTGGCTTTCTTTTAGCTGTTGAACTATGACATACTTTTATGACCTCTTAGGGTATTTTAGTGTTTCTCATTTTTCTTTAATGCCTATGCTGTCAACTGTCGAGTTATTACATTTATGTATTGTTGCCAAATATGTGTCTGAACATTTGATGTATTGACAATTTTCTGCAGAAGATGGACAAGGATTGATTAAATGCTCAAAACCCATAATGAATTGTTGCCACCATTCTCAAATTCGTATGTTTCTGTCGTTGATCCTTTAAATTTGCAATATGGAACTACTCATCTCTATGGTTCATCTAATGTGGTGATAACTGATGATCCACCTAGTTCAAGTGAACATCTCGAAGTTTTTATACATCTACTAATTTTGCCATAGCAGCTTGTTTACATTTTATATTATCATTCAGGAATAAACTTGATTTATTTCAAGTTTTTATGTATGTTTAAATAATCTGTTTTGACTAAACCAGACACAATTAGTGGAAGGTCGCTGAGGGACTGTGTAATGTCAATTATTAGGAGGAATTTGGTTGTCTTCGTAATGCATGGTTGCGGTTTAGTCTTAAATATAACTCGTAGTAAATATTCGATCACTCCTCTGTCACAGGTTCTGCTGGCACGGGCTTTGGATAGATAAATACAACTCCATTTGCTAGCAAAAATCGGACTAAAACTGACACATTTACTTGCGTGTCACTGGTCAGGACCATGTCTACGACCCCTCTTTTTTTTTTTTTTTAAGGACATGAAATGAAATGAGAGTTGGGATTTTCTCGTGTGTACTTAACATATTTTAGTAATATAGTAATTTTATAAAATTATAATATATACGAGGCAGGCGGGGCAACCCTCTCATAAAACCGTTCCAAAACTTGTCGTGGTCTCTTTTGACATAATCGGTTTTCCAAAACCGTTTTAAACGGGGCGAAGTGGGATGGGCTCCTGCTGGGGTACAGATTTTTGCCCTTCCTAGGTCCGCGTAGTCCCTTACCTTGAAAAAAAAAATCCCCTTGGGATGTGGGTTATGCCAATAGACTTGCTGCCAGAAGGTACCAACACCCAAAAATGGGAAAATAATGTGATAAAGGTGGTATAATGGAACACTGAAAGGAAATATGGGATCTGGGTTTATTTGGTTTGTTTAGTTCAGTTTTAAGAACGGAAAATACTGAAAATTAGAAAATTGTATAGAAACTTATAATTAAAAAATGATCTGTTTCTAGAGTACTGTATCTTATAATTCTATGAAAATAAATTTTTATTTTTTGAATTCTTGAGAACTATGTAAATAATTTTTTATTTTTTAAATTCTTGAGAACTATTTTTGAAAGATTAAATTACACGGATTTTTCCTAAAAATGAAACTAACGATCAACACCAATGAATGACGGATTCGGTTAATGTCATTCGCTTAATTAAGTAAAATTTCATAATATCCTTCATCCATCTCCCCCCTCACTCTCTCTCTCTCTCTATATATTATACTCGTATGCATCTACTGGCAAACCACTACCACCGTTCCGGCAACCTCTGTTAGCACCTTTGCAACCGTCTAAGTCATCAACAAAGAGATCATTGAGTATAAGTTATCAATTAGAAATTAAGTAATAGTTTTTCATTGACCATTTTTTTTTTTTTTTTTTTTAGCATGGACAAGAATTTCAAAGCATCTTCAAATAGAAATGTCAAATGCTATTCCAGTATATATATATCATTCCAGAAATTTAGTACTAATAGTTATTGACAACCTAGTTGAGTGATGTGTAGTTGTACTAGTGTGAAAAGATCCACATTTGTTTTTTAAGCAAAATAGAAACTTTAGTGTGAAAAGATGATAATTTTTCATTAAACCGTACTATAATGAAAATGAAGAACAAAGCATTACTTGAAGTCACCTTCAAGTCGACCTCTTGGGGTGTAGTATGTGTATGTGAGAGAGAGAGCAAATGGTAGGGGCAATGAATCAGTGAAAAAACACATCGCAAATCCAGAGAAGAGAAATCCAAATAAAAGGTAATACTCCAATTTGTGTAAAGCTTACCCAAATGCAGAGGGGGATATACTTGGACATCGATCGGATCAAGTCGAAATGGGGCTACTTTTGGACTACTAACTTATGGGCGGCCTATCCTGTGTGCGCACTAGACTCATAGGAGGAACTCTCATCCCCCGTACTAGAATCATGTCCTAGCTGTAGTCAAACATTTGATATCCAAGTTTCCAGGAACTTTTGGATTTTGGTCCTAGGCTATGCATATAATTGACAAACCCTTTTTGAGCATTTATATCCATTGGATTATGCAATTACTCCACAAGATTGCAATACCAACCAAAATCAAGCGCGAGATCGCTGTCCGACACCCCCACATCATCGAATTGAAGGACGTCATGGCCACCAAGCATAAGATCTTCTTCATCATTGAGTACATCAAAGTCGGTGGCAAACTTTTCGCCAAAGTCCTCAAAGGCAAACTCTGAGAAGACTCTGCTCAAATACTTCCAGCAACTCATCAGCACCGTCGATTTCTGCCACAACCGTGACGTCTACCATCGCGAAGAGAAGCACCGCTACCCCCTCGTCCGCTGATAGAGGATGAGAGGGTGGTGCTGACAAATGTCAACTGGCAGGCAGAGAGAGCAGGGTCCATCCATATGGACCCACAACATAGGAGGCCTGGGCCGGAAGAGGAGATGGAACGTGTCGAGGTTATTCCTTCTTGGCCGAAAGAATCAACTGCAGACAAGACGTCATTGACTGGTGTCGAGTAACAAAGAAATCTTGTTACTAGAAATTGAGTAATAAGATTTCAAGGAAAATGCACCATGCCTCCAAGAAATTATATCAGCCCTAGACTTTAACTCTAGCCTTTGAATAAAACTTTTTACCACATCAGGAAAAGAAGAGGGGACAGACCAGATTCCATTGTCAATAATGGAAGCCACTGGAGCATTTCTATCAACCTGTCTAAGCATTGTAGCACCAAACTTCTGAATCAAAGATTAGGATCAGACAGCAGCTTAAAATTCAACCCGTCTCCAATTTTAAAACCAAACAACCAGTGATATAAATAAGAATATAAGACTGATTTGATCAATTGTATTCTCCCTGCTTACAGACAAGTTAATGATATTCCAACGACCCAATCTTGCATTTACTTTATCCAACAACATCCTATATTCACCTATCCTTAAACTGTAATTTGAAACACCACGCAGGCCACGATATTTGAATGGAAACTTTTCTGTCTGGAATTGTATAATAGAAGACAATCTTCTTCTACCCCTTAACTGATTTAGAAAAAAATAATAAAAGAGGCATGCCAAGATATTTGAATGGACTTCCATGCAATTATGGCAAACCATAGGAGAGATCAATATAATTTACCCTTTTTAGAAAATAAAACGGGAATCCACGTTTGAAATTAATGCAGTGTGTAAACCTTGTTCACTTAGTTTGTTAGAAGCTAGGAAACACGGATACTTGTAGGAGAGCGATGTACTCATACTAGATACGCATCAAATACCAGTACCCCTTGAATAATCACAAATAACACTTCTTAAGGGTCTCTATAATTTTAAAATATATCTTTGTATACTTTTTATATACTTCATAGCACACATTTTTAACAAGTTTTGAACATTAAAATATAATTTTTTTTCAACAACAATAACATATTATAATTATTAAGAAAAGTTCAACATTAAAATATATATTTTCAACAATAATAACAGATTATAATTGCTAAGAAAAGTACAAAATTGATTAACCAATGCTTGTTTTAAATGTTTTGAAACAAACTCTTATGTTATATTAATGATTGCAATTAGATTCATAATATTACTAAAAATTGGTTAAAATATATATTTTTTGTATATAAAAAATACTATTTATAATTATTTTCTTTGTTGTATCCCACCATACCTGTATCCTATTATTATATATATATATATATATATATTTGCCGCATATGACATGCACCTGGATTGCTTCCTAAGTTAAAAGTAATACCTCGGTGGCTTACTATCCTTGTTCGTTTAGTTGGTCAGTAGTAATACCTCGGTGGGAAAACTATGCCTTGCTCATATTTCATTACCATCATCCACAAACGTCTGATATCATTTCAAATCAATTCAAAAATCCCAACAAAGAATGAAAGGGAATCCCAGCCAAAGATTAAAAAAGAAATAGTTTCTTCTTTTTTCCACATCCACCCTTAATATCAAGACAGGGGCACACTATTTGTAACTAACTGCCCCTCTTGCAACGCCTTGATTTGTATGCGGACTCTAAATTGAGGGATATCAAGCAAATTGTATCAGCTTATGTACAAATCCAACTAATTTTGTAAATCACACTAAAGAACTGCTTCTGTTGTATACTTTGTAACCAGGCTTAAACTTCCATCCAATCTATCCAGCTCATCTGATAAACCGCAAGATGGGAAAAGTTAGAAGGTTAATAAAAGCCACAAGTCCACCAGATATGATCAAGTTCCAAGAAAAATTTTCTAAAGAAAGAAAAACCATATAGAATGTGAATGAGAGCAGATGCCCATCATCTGCTATACGTAATACGTTCATGGATAATCTGGCAAGTAGAAAAAAATCGCAAGTCTTTCTGCCTAAACAAGCAACACATTCCTCAAAAGACAAATCCCACCAAACACGGAGGTCAAAACAGTACTCTCTCTACCGTTATGTTGATACAAAGATGGTTTCAAAATGATACTTTTTAAGTTAAAAGTAACATTTCATAAAAGAAGCGCCCAAGAGGGGAACGCGCCCAAGGGACGACATGTCCATATTTTTTATTTCAAGTAATTCATGTCTTGCACTGTCCCAAGATGTCTAACGTTATTGCAATTATACATTTATCAGTCTAGCATCCAACTTTGAGTGCACATAAACAAGTCATTCTGCCTTCTTATATCAACATAAATATAAACACTATCAAAATGAGACTGCAAGCTCAACCTTCCAGAAAAAATAATAATAATAATAATAATAATATGGGTAAGCTCTGAATGAAATTTATTAGTCGTACCTGATAAGAATTGCCAATAACGATGTGCTATAATCACATGTCATACGGTAACATGCACATTCTTTGAGGTTCTGTTGGAGGAGACTGCTGAAATCCCTGGGGAATTACTTTGAATCTCAGCCAATGGATTCACAATAAGACCACCAGCACCATGGAGCCTCAATCTCCTATTTTCAAGCTTATATGGTTCAGCACTGCCGTTATTATTGGCCATGTTACGTATGCCAGACACTGATGTGATTCCGCTCGAAGGAGAGGTCGAATATCGGCCTTCTGATTTCCTCCATAACTTGGCCCTCAAAAATTCTGCACCAGGTAGCTTGCAACATGTGGTTCTCTTCGAGTCGGTATTTGACATCCTCCCTGTTGATCTGGCCAAGTCAAATGAGATCTCATCCAATGCCACCTCTAGACCATGCACACGTGTCTCCAGAGAGCGCATTCCATTCTGCGAACTTCCCATGAATTTCTAAAATTGAAGAATAGGACCAAAATGTGAGTGAAAAGGCTTTGTAACAGTCAGAAGGAACTAGTAAATAAATCAACAAAGAACCAGTGGCTAAAACTCCTAGCAGAAAATATTGTATTAATGATGGCGAGTTAAGATAGATGATGTGTCATGCAAGTAAGATATTCTACTCTAAGAAGCATCTTACACAACATTGTTGAACAAAGCAACATATTTGGCTTCGGAAGTTAATTCCGCTTCAGGGGGTAAATCAGAATTCATGAATTAGTTGGGAAAATTTCTAACCTTAAGAACCTAAGAATAAAATTGCAAGTAAGAAAGGCCCGATGCTTGATTAAAGAGAGGCAGAATATTTTGTCAGATAAGAATTATACAAAATAATTCAAAAAATATAATTATGGATATAATTGCGAATCCATAAATTGCTGAACTGTAACCAGGATTGATTCAGGTTCATTTCACGAGACAAAGTTCGGAATAAGAATATCTAAGGTTTCAAAGATAAAATCAATATGTCAGCCAAGAGTTATCTTATATAGAAAGTAGCATTCAGGATACAATTACTAATTCATAATTCTCAGAACTGTAACAGAATTGCTTCAGGTTGAATTCACAAGACACAGTTCAGAATAAGGTTTCAAAGATGAAACAATCAAAAAAATCTGATGACAGTTATTTATTTGTTATTTTCAAACATCAACTAAGGCTAATGTCAGCACATCTTCCCGAGTCTTTTATCCCCTGATAAGTGGTCTTTTCCAGATCAGAATCTAAATAGAATAACGAAGTACTTTTTTTTCCCCGGGAAAGTTGGAAAATTTGCATAAAAAAATGAGCAATGGAGTACATGGTATGAAATGGGGGCATACTCCCACCAGATACAAGAGATTTATCAGAGTCCATTACTAAACCAGTAAGGGCTCAAAACAAGAAAACAAAAACCTCAAGCAAAATTCAGTAAGTGCAGGCCCCTCATTTGAAGACCAGAGATATCAAAAACCTCCCAACAGAACATGGAATAGAACCTAAAATTCAAAACCACAATTCATAACTGCAAATACTGATAATGAAAGTAGTATTTTGGTGTTCTTAAGGAGCCAACGTTTATGTTAAAAGAGTATAAAAATTATTCATAAATTACTTTGGTGAAAGCCTTGGATGATTTTAGGTAAGTTGCTGATGCTGTAGACCAAAGAATTGCATGAAATGATTCCGAATTTGGCAGTCTAATGCGTTTTACTTAATAAATTAAAGTCATAAATGTGAATCAATACTTCACTTAGCACAGAGAATTGGCAAATATGTCAATATTATGATACAGTACAGTGACAACATAATAGTTTAAGAAGAAGCCATTGATCAAGTGTTCAAGTGTAAGGGAATTACCTGGAGAAGATCTAATAAACTGGACTGCTGGTTTTCAATTTGACCAAGCTGCTTACGGATTAAAGAAAGATCCTCACTCTCTTTCTGGTTCCTGTAGAGATCCTCAGTGAGATTACTAACTACAACAGTAGATTCTGTTTTCTCGCCATGACATGGGACCACATGAGATCCAGCCTTAAAGCCACCACACTTGTGCAACCTGTCATCCACGTTCTTATCAAAGAGAGCCCGTTTTGTTTCTCCCTTTATGATCCTATTTCCCTCTTCCTCACCTTTCTCCTGAGCTTTCTCATCCCAATCCTCGGATTCGTCCTCAACCATTATCATGGAGGAAGTATGAGGAGAAGAAATTTCAATTTTCCAATCAGTTGGCTTCTTCCTGTCCAGCTTTCGGAACATTGCTGGGCCTGATTTCTTGTCACTAATATCCAGAGGACTTCTTTTCCTGGCAGTAGTTGTGATTGAACCATCGGGTAAAGAAGACCTCTTACATGGGATGTTCTTCTTCCTTATTTGAGGAGCTCCAGGGGTAACAGTGCAGGAGGTTTTTGAACCAGGTGGGTAGCGCCCATCACTAACATCCTCTGTCCATAAACATTTGGGGGGAAAAAAAAAACAAGAACATTAGGGATACAAACCAGAAAAATAAAAATGCAAAAATAAGACGATTGAAGCTTAGTTTACTATAATGTTCAACAAACCAAACAATGTGACGAGAAAAAATTGATTGAAGTAACTAGAAAATCATAGTATTACAGATTATCCAACAAACTACCACAAATATATGTACATAATATATACATATATGTACAAAAATAAATAAATAAACAATAGGAAAAAAGAAGCAACCAAACACAGAACTGAATATCAAAAAAAATAATAATAAATTCACACAAAGATGAATTACTAAAAACAACGCAACAATAAATCTCAATTATGAACATGAATGCTTGTGTGTGTAACTATTTTTATTTGGTTATCTCAATTCATATTTCATAAAGTTATATCCTTGAGAATTTGATCAACTTGATCTAACCATATCCAATATATAGTTACTAGCAAGAAGAGATCATCCAAAACAAAACAAAAGACATAAAAGAACATGACTAATGAGCATAAAAAATTTACCTTTGGAAGAAGGTTCCAAATCAGGTGATCCTGAATCCACATTTGAAACATTAGGGATCTCCTTCCAAGCATCAATCAGTTGATTCATGGTCACCCTCACAGACTTCACCTACACAACATCAATACAAACTCAAATATATATATATCACATTGTAAATATATAATTTGACACATCAAATTGAATTGAAACCTTATCGAATTTGGTGGCTTCAAAAGTCTTCAAACACGAAGACCTAAACTCCGACAATGTCTCTCTCTCCACCACCGCCAACTTCACCAGCGCCTCCGCAGCAGCCTTCCTCGCCGCCCAATTCTCACTCCTTACAAACTCAACCAAACACGGCACCAAAATTTTCAGCACCTGCTGACTCGAAGCAGCACCAGATCCAATTATACTCGCAATGAGCGTCAACAATGCCGGTTTGGCCTTGAAGCTCGGGTTCTTCAGCAACTTCTCGAGCCTCGGCAACAATCTCTTCAAGTACAGAGGTTCCGGATCTGGTGATGCATCGATCGCCGAAGCGAGGCACAAGGAAGCGCCGATCTGAGAATTCTGGTCTTGTTCGGTGACGAGAGAGTCGATGAAAGGCTTCATGATGAGAGTGAATGGAGGTTTTGTGATGTGAGAGGATATGGAGGCGGTTGCGGTAACGCAGGCGGAGCGGACGGCGGAGTCAGTGTCGCGAAGGCGGCGGACGACGGCGGAAATGAGTTTGCAGAGGAATGGGGAGAGTGCATCGCCGTGAGACTCGGAGAGAACGGAGATGAGGCGGACGCATTGTCTCCGGACGGGAGACTTATCGGTGTCGGTGGCGGAGATGGAGGAGATGAAGGAAGGGATGTAGTTGAGAGTGAGAGAGTTGGCGATGGACTCAAGCTCCGACGCGGCGGCGGAGTGGGTGTCGCGGTCGGAGAGCTTATTGAGGCAGGTCAGGACTCGGTGTTTGAGTTCACGAGTGGACTCGGCCAGGTTTGGTCTCGGTGAGGCATGCTTGGCTATTGCCATTGTAGTTTTATGTGGCAACATATATATATATATATATATATATATATATATATATACACACACTGGCAGTTTTAGGAAATGGGTGGTGGCGCCGACGGTACTTCCGGCGGCATGGCGGGAGTATGGCGTTGAACGGTGGCGTTTGCCAGTTTGCGCCTTTCGTGTTTGGGTATGTATGCTGTGACTGACGCTTTGTGTGGTGTGTACTTTGTTCTCCCTTCTTTTAAAGTGAAATGGGGTTGGTAATTCTTGGGCCATGTTCGTTAAAGTTTTTAGTTTTAAATTTAGTAGTGGATTTTTTATTTATTTTTTTTTTTTTTAGAAAGGGTAATAAAATCTGTTTGGTAATTTTATTTTGACTTTTCAAATTTGAAATTTTTTTAAAATTAATTATCATTTGCTTCGCAATTTTCAATACTCTCAGTTTTAGTTTTCAAATACTACTATTTATTATTTTATTATTCTTCACAATTAAAGAAATGTTATTTTTATCATTTTTCAATATACTTGAATATTAAATAAATATAATTTTATTAATTTTTAATTATACTCTAATACTTAGTAGTAAATAAAAGAGTCAATTTTATGATTTTATTATTTTTCAATTATACTTGAGTAGTAAATTAAAAAGTCAATTTTATTGTTTTTAATTATATTCAAATAGTAAATAAAATATAGTTTTATTATTTTTAGTTATACTCTAATAATAAATAAAAGAGTTAATTTTATTATTTTATTGTTTTCAATTATACTTGAATAGTAAATATAAATGTTATTTTATTATTTTTCAATTATACTCTAATAGTAAATAAAAGAGTCAATTTATTTATTATTTTTTAATTGTACTCCAATAATAACTAAAAGAGTCAATTTTAAATAAAAAATAAATTTACCAAATATATTTTATTTTTTCTCTTTTAAAAAATTCAACAACAGATGTAGATTACTAAACGTTTTTCAGTAGTGAATAATATGTTTACCAAAGGTGTTTTGATTTGACAGCTCAGCTTTTTAAAGCTTATCATTTTTACATAAATAAAATCACAACAAAAAATGAATACCATAGCTTTACTAAATAGGGCCTTACTTAACTACAAACGGCAACGTTTCATTTGATTCACGGTTTCTGTATTGGTCATTATGATGTAATTTTTTTATTTTTTATTTTTCTAGAAAATATGTATTGATTTACTTTTGAATAATACTTAGGTCCAACTCACTTCATCCAACCTGCTAATGCAAATTAATAAAATTACGACAAATGTTAAAATTAAATATAAATTTAAATTGAGTATTGCCTAACTTTATTTTTGGACATGTACTTTAAATCCTAACTTTTGCTTTAGAACACTTGTTTTAGATCTATTGGACCACATCAGCGGGTTGTTTTAGTTTCTAGTATTTGACAAAAGATTTAGATCGAGATCGATGTCTTTGTAAATATCTTATGACAATAAAATATCAAAAAATAAAAATATATTATTTAAAAATATATTTTACATCCAAACAAATGGAAACTCATAAAATGAAAATGTTAAATCTTAAAAGAGAAAATGAGGATGTTAACATAAATGATTAAAGTGAATAGAGTTTTAAAAATCCAAAGTTAAAATACGAAATTGTATAAACATTTACATAAATCCGTTTTATTTCATAACCCACTTTTAGTTTAATTTACAACTTAAATAAGTGAGAAAAAAACATAGTAGGTTAGAAACTTAAAGCTTGTATGAAGACTGAAGTGATATAATGTGTAGTTGGTAGAAAAAATATATGTAGTTAAAAGTGGGAACACCAACCATGGTACTATAACCATTCCGGCCAGTTTACTCTAAAAAGATTAATTGATTAGAGAGGTTGAAGCATAAATAAATCCTTCAATAGGAGGGAAGAAAGGAAAAGGAAAAGGAAAAGGAAAAAAAAGTTGAAGTATACTTGTATTGTTTGGAAAGGGAAAGAAAATCAATAATAAATGAGGCATTCTTCCATTTCCACAAATATATTTTGATCCAAGTTTAAGACAAAAATAAGAAATGATATTTTTGGTCTAAAATGAAAAACATTATCACCTTCGATTGCATATGTCATATCACATGTGTTGCGTTATATAATGAATAGTATTTGTGAATTTTTTTTATTATCTTCTCTTCTATTCAAAATATTTCCTTACATTTAATTAAAGAAGACTGGTCCAATCTTCCTCATAAAAGATCATAAACAATCGCATTGTGATAAAGTTAAATGCTATTGAGGAGGCCAGAAGTGATATGGGCCGGATATGACCCGCGAACATGGCATTCGGTCCGAGCAGCTGGGTCCAGCCCATAAAGAAATACTGCCATATGGGCCGAATGCGAATAGCCCATCGAAGATGACCAAAGCCCACAGAGGAACGGGCCCAGATCTAGCAACCCATTAATGTTTGTAAATACCTATAAATATGAGAAGTAATGGGGAGAGAGATTCATTCTGTTGAAGTGTAAGAATTCTAGAGAGAGAAAATGGAAATGAATTCTTTGCATCTTCAATTGGCGCCGTCTGTGGGAATCGTTGAAGATTGATTGACCATTGATCAATATCGCGTGGATTCAGACCAATTCGTGAAGACGAAGCTCGATCTTTGGGAGTTGGATCCAGATCTGAGGGATTGTGACCTATTCTGGAGGAATTTTAGTTCTGTTGCTTTGACAGAAGTGGCTTCAGATCTACGCAACAACGAGTTGTTCGATTGCGGCCGGATTTGACGGATTTAGAATTCGGAGAATTTAGATCTCGTCAACCGTAAGCATAACTCGGAGAATTCGAGTCCAGATCTGAAAAATTCGCGCTCACGAAGCTCAGATCTACTCAAGAACTTGAGATTAATGCCTTTACTCCGTTCAGGAATAATGATAGGTGAAAGCTCCAATCCAATGGAGGCTGTCCAGCAAACGAAGCTTGAGGAGTTGATGAACTTGATCGAAGCTCTCAAAAGAGAGAATGCAGAATTGAAAGCTGGAATGCAGCATCAGCAAATGCCGGCGGTTCCGCGTCCACTTCCGGCCTGTGAAAGAGGTATTCAATCTAATATCGCACATCAAGGCGAGCAGGACGAGAACAATCAGTCAGCTCTCCACCGTGATGAAAGGAGGATGGACGATTTGCCGCCAAATATTCGTCGAGTTGAGGATCACGAAGGATCGACTCACGTTGATCCGCGACATAAGCAGATCAAACAGAACGAAGCCATGACCTTCGATCCGCATCAGGAAAGGTTCAACCGAGAGGAAGTGATAGAGGTTGATCGCCGCCAAGTTGTGTCGCCTTGGCAAAGAAAGCTCATTGAGGAACGGTCATTCGATCCGTCTTACCGGCCCTCCATGGCTACACTCACTCATCGCGGTTCGGAGAGCAGATCTGTAACTCATACAGCTACCGCTGGGCTCCAGAGAGAGAATGAAGCACTCCGATCCGCGGCTCGGACAGTTGATTCACCATTTATTGATGAGATCCTGAATGCTCCGCATCCAAGGAAGTTTGCCATGCCAGTCTTTATTCTGTTTGACGGAACAACCGATCCGATCGATCATGTGTACCATATCCAGTTAAAGATGGCTCTGAATACGAAAACGACTCTTTAATGTGCAAATGTTTCCCTACAAGTCTAGCCGGACCGGCGCTTAGCTGGTTCAAGAACTTGCCTAGGGGCTCGATTGATAGCTTCCGGAACCTGTGCGATCGGTTCATAAGCCAGGACTATGGGAACAAGCGTCCGCCGAAGGACATCTCGAGCCTATTCACAATGAAACAGCACAAAGATGAACGTCTCCAGGCTTTTCTCACCAGGTTTAACCTCACTAAGAGTATGGTGATTGAATGCCACCCTTCTACAGCGGTTCAAACCTTCAAGTTGGCCATGACACGTGGCACTCCGTTCCATACCAGTCTGGTAGTGAACACGCCGACGATTATGGATGAACTCAATGAAAGAGTCGATGGCTTTGTGCGCCTGGAAGAAGAGGAGGCAGCCAATGCTCGGACAGCGTCGGTCGTGTCGACCGAGGAAAAGTCCAAGGCAAAGATCAGGCAGAAGCAGGCTCAGCTGCAACGTCAGACCTCTTGGAAGGCAAAAAAGAGGTCTAGGGAGGAAGAGCTAATCACTCCGTTGAAGGTCACTCTGGCGAGGCTATATCAGGAGAACAAAGATAAGTTTCATCCACCACTGCCAATTAGGCAACCCCTCGAACAGAGGGATCAGACTAAACATTGTGCTTTCCATTCCAATTTCGGTCATCAGACTAACGAATGCAGGAATTTGAGAAGGCAAGTGGAGATGTTGATAGCTAGAGGGGAGTTCGCGAGTTATGTCTAAGGCTCGGCGATAGAGCAGAACCGACCGATGGAGCAAGTAAAAAGAAGTTAGAAGCAAAGCTCCCACAATTCACAGCCAGTTCGTATAATCAATGCTATTCACGGTCGACCCGAGCCTAGCGAAGACTCAGATGAGCTACTCCGAACGCGCCTACGGCAGGCGCAGATGAAGAAAAGGGTCAGCAGTGTGAATACTCTGCACCAACAGATCACATCGATACAGATAAAGTTCGACAGGACAGACCTGCTACGTGTTCAAATCCCCCATGAAGATCCGTTGGTAGTCAGCTTGACAGTGGCGAACTACCTGGTGCGCAGAGTTCTGATCAATCCCGGAAGTAGTGCAAATGTCATGCCAAGGGACACATTTGATCGGCTCGAGATTAAGCCAGAGAGGCTCAAGCCCACTGGAAAATCCCCTGTTAGGATTTGATGGTAAGAGGGTGGAGCCCATCGGTATGGTGGAAGTAGAAGTTCAAGCTGCAGAACGAGCTCTTATGGAAACTTTTGTGATTGTGGAGATTCACCCCTCGTACAATCTCCTGATGGGAAGAGGATGGATTCACAGAGTCCAAGGTGTGCCCTCAACTCTGCATCAGGTCATGAGGTGCCTCGGACCCGATGGAAATAAAGTGATAGACATTCATGGGGATCAGGTTGCAGCTAAAGAGTGTTATTCCGTCACACTAAAATATGCTGGGAAAGGGAAGGCGCCCATCCATTCGGCGAGCCCAAGATAGCAATTACAGGAACCTCCACCCAAGCAGAATAGGGTGGAGGAGCCAGTTGACTTGACCGAAGAGCCCCTTCTGGATGTGCAGATCAATCAGTCCAAGCCAGAGCAAACTACCAGAGTAGG